CACAAAAACATCAAAATTAGCACAGAAACAGTACTATATAACATTTTAGACACGTTCTAGACAGTTTATCAGCTAAAAAAGTTAATTTTGGGGTAAGTTACTCTTTAAAGACACGTCCCAGGGGCGTTTCTGGTCTCCACCTGTCGTTTTGCTCCTCAACATGGCTGCCTAAAAACGCTGCAGGATTTCTCAAACATGCATGAATGAGTCAAAGCAAGGCTTGGGACATGTTTTTTTTTCATGAGAGGATAACATTATAACACGATATAAAACTCAAAGTTGATTTTACATTATACTGCCCCTTTAAAACGCCCAAATCATTTTAACTTTTCAAAAAAGCGTTTCGATTCCGGAGTTTAAAACTCAACCTCATCTTAACRAGTAACTCCCAGTTGTCACAGCCGCTCGCTGCTCGCAAATACAAAGAAATAATTAAATTAGACTGTGCAACATGAACTCAGCTTCCTCTGCTGAGGAGAAGTGATGCTGGTGTGAAACTGTACTAGGTAATATTTCTGACATCAAAGTATTCACAGCCTTCTGACATTTGGCTCGTCTCGATGCTGGTGGCGTAGAGACAAACGGTTTGAAAATTCACGACCCGATTATTAACATCCCAAMTGACGCTTCACCAGAAAACCAGCCTAAATTTGGGTGTCAGTCAATTAGCAAAATATTGTTCAACGAAATTTAGTCAAACTTGCAGAAATGAGTCTAAAACTAATTTCTTTTAGAGTCGACTATTTAAAATGGCAGCTGCAGCTGAGTGACCTTAAAAAAAACCACAAAAACAGCTAAAACTCTTTCACTTTTAGAGAAACTGAGCTGAAGTTTGTTGTGGAAGAATCTGAGACTGATCCTCAACACATATTTTGAGCTCTAACACAACGCTCAAAATCTTTGTTTACATTTTGCCATGAACTTACTTGGTGTCAACTCTCATTGTCTGTTAGCAAAATATCTCACAAACCTCTGGACAGAATTGAATAACATCATTTTTTTTTTACTTTTGGAGTCAATCCATATCAAGATGGCTGCCACAGCTAATCTGCATTCATTAAAAGAAAAAATGACAAATCAGTCAGTATAGCTACTGAGCTGAGGGTTTATAGTGACTGATTGGTCAGTGTGAGTATAACATCACACAATATGGTGCAAAATGTTATTTTTAAAGTTTGGCTTCAATTCTTTTCTCCTCACAAAATGATAAGAATCTAAAACTCAAGTGTTTCTTCRACACATGCTGGTGCTTTAATGGTTAATTTTACTAAACTGGAACAGAAAGTCAGAGTTATGGCTTCATATCATGACTGTTGTTGTTTTCCTGTTCTTCAGAAACTGTCTCTGAATAAAACGACTCACAGATCATTAACAAGGGTTTAAACAGTTTGATCGTTTCATCAGCAAACAATAAAAAGCAACAACACCGCRCTTCAGATCAGGAAGTAGACGTGATGCTCTCAGTAAAAAATAATGTCAGGCTTGTCAATAAAAGATAAAAGTTTCAAAACTCTTTACAAATAAAAAGATAAGCAACAACTTTACCTTTTTTAAATTATTTTAAAAAAATGAAAATTTTAATCAACTTATTTAGAGCTTTGAGAACATTTTTTAAACTATCTTCATGCTATTACCCCATTTATGTCACTTTTATATTTGATTTTTTTTTCTCACCTGTTATGTTTCTTTCCATAGATTATTTAATCAGAACTGAACTCTATCATCTTTATCTGTACTTGTTATATTTGTGGGACCCCACTATGTGTGATGAAACACTAAGTTAGGGTCTGGATGTAAAAAAATGGTGAATTATGTCACATTTTTTCCATAATGTTTACAAAAAATAAAAACAATTCTCATATATAAACTTATAAAAACGGCATTGTGGTTGTTATTGTGCTCTTGTTCTAAGGTTATTTAAAACCGGCAGGTTTAATTAAAAAAATATTTTATTCCCAAAATTGCATTTTGACTCATTAATTAGACAATCTACCAGGTTTACAGACAAGAATATCAACCTGAAATTCAACCATGACAAAAACTACACAAGAAGCAGCCCATTAAAAAGCTCCTTGATAGCGTTTTGGATTTTAAAGGCCTCTTTGAGTATAAGAAGACGTCACAAGTGTCACAGTCTCATTCAACATTTGTCAGCTGATGAAATATTCCCACCGTTTGTGTTGTCCGATCGTCTCCTGTTCATTACAGGAAGTAACGACATAAAAACATGAAAACAACCAGTTTTAATGCAGAACTTCCAATAAGTGAGCTACACAAACAAGACGTTTCCATTTGATCAAATGTTGAGGAAAGTTCCTGCATTTCAAACAACTCTTTCCATCAAACCAGGTTCCCCATTAATTTGCAGAAGCACCGTTGCCGGAACATGATGCAGCCAGATCATTACACTGCACCTAAATATAAACAGGTGTGACAGCCAAGGGAGAGAAAATATGAATTCAAGAAGTTCAGCAGGACTGTTTCCACACTGCTGTTTGTTCGCCCCTGAACAATAAAAGGAAGCAACTACATTCTGACCTGAAAACGGCCACAGCGAGTCGTCTGTGCATTCCTATGAAATCACAATAACATCACCCTCCATCACGGCCTGCACACTCACAAACATCCAGATCCAGAGGACACACCCTTTCCTGCACAGGGAAGCTGCAGATAAGCTGCTCCCGTTGGGAAAACACGCTGCGGGTTGTTTCTCAAGACACTCAAAACCATCTAAAACTGCAGTTTCTTTTCCTTTCTTTTTTAGAGAGTTTTTATACAAATTCAGTGTTGAAGACCGACGCTCACCTTTTACCTTTTATTCTCTGTTTAACTCAACCTCCTGAGCAGGAAGCTCAACAGGATGCAGAATGTGAGTGGAGCAGGAGTGATAGGACAATTGGAAACATGCTGTCATTGAACACACACACACACCCCCTACACGCACACACGCGCACACACACACACACACACACACACACACACAC